TAAAGAATGAGTCTGTGTAATCTTTTAAATTATTGTTTTAAGCCAAAGAACCCTTCCCTCAAAACCCATTAAATGGGCCCAGATTTTTATTTTTTTATTTTTGGTCTTAAAAGACTCCAAGAAACACCAAGGGACAATTTGAAAAGTTTGGTTCTATTTCTTTAACTTTATAAAGATAGAAACTATAGGTAAATGAAGTTAAAATGAAGCTATTTTTAAAGTCAAGTCTGAATTCTGTTCCCCCCAGGCTCATTGTTATACCCAGAGGCTATACGCAGTCTCTAAGGAATGTTTCCAAGTAGGGTAAGGAAAGTATTCTAGGGTCCTGTTGTGAAAGAATCACCATATGTTTTCCTATAATTGGCCCATACTCCCCACACTGAAATTTTGAAGAAGGGGAAGAACCTGATTTTCCTCCAGCTACCCCAGAATGTTCTGGCACTTTTTTCTATGACTCATTACATACTACATCTTTAAAAAAATGAATAAATAAGTAAATAAATACGCTAGACTTTGCTAGGAATTAAAGGTACTGTTTAATATTTTTTCTTCTAGGTAGTAAGTATAGATATTTAAATGTATGTTTCTGTATTTATGTCGTATATGTGTATTTAAAATTAAAAATTCAGGAAAAGCAAACTTGTGTGACAGTGTAATCAAGTGTAGGAATAGTGATTTTGTTAGTCTTCTTTGTGTTTAAGAATGGGATTATGATTGCCTGCTATAAGTTTGTGTTCTCTGAGATTAAGTTCTTAAGATCAAGGGACATGTCTTCCTCCTCCCAAGACCCCATTGCTCAGCATAGTGATTTCATATAGTAAGTAGGTGGTCAGTGGTAGAGCAGACAGAATTCCACTTCTATGTGGTTGTTACTAGGTACTTTTAATTCAGTGTTTACCACTAAAGGGACTGGGTCAAATCTGGTCTGCTTATTATTTTACCTTTAAAAATGGGACAGGACATTTATTAAAAACTGTTTTCATTCTAAAAGTTGTTTTGGAAATTTGACTAGTAAAGTAGTACCAGTGGAAAATATTAAAAGCAACTATTTATAATACTTTTTATGTGACTCATTATTTTTTCCTGATCAAAACATTTATCCACAGAGATTTTAAAGTAGGCTTTTTGGCAGGTATTCAGAAACACCAGAAATGAATAAACAAAAGCAGATATTTGATATGAACTTACATAAATGACAGAAATGTAACATAGGTTTTTGTTTTGTTTGTTTGTTTGTTTTCTGTGCAATTTAAAACATGTTTAATTCTGGAATTTTCATATAGTTTTGGACTGAAATCATAGAAAGCAAAACTGAGGATAAAGGGCACTTCCATATGCCCCTGTCCCCAAATGCTCAACAATCTTGCCTGCAATGGACAGCCATAGGTTTGTTAGGATCCCTAGACATTGATGCATCACCACCCAAAGTAGCACAGCTTTTGAAGCTGGTGAGGGCTAGGAAATTCTCCACGAATATCTAGGATAAAGAAATGGACTGGGCTGTTTCTGTCCTTGGTAGATACATTCCCGTTTTTAATCCTGTAAATTATTTCCCAAGTGTGGCCAGAGAATAGGGACCTGTTTGGGAGTGGGGAGGAGTTGGAGACATCCAGATTAGGATTGCTTCAGAATTAAGGAATCTAGTAGGAGTTTCAGAGGGGATAGAGGGAGAAGGTAGACCCACTGTCCCATTTTTACTCACCAGGAAACTGACAGCTTCAATTGTCACATGCTGCCAGGTGACAATTGAAGCTGTCCGTTTCCTGGTGAGCAAAAAGGGGACAGTGGGTCTACCTTCATCACAGAGTCCTGAAGACAGTGGATAGGGAAATGTTTTGTGAACTGTTAAAACCTATTTAAATGCAGGTCAATACCTTGTTTTACTTAGTCCACCTCTCCTAAAAGGAAGAAGGCTAACCAACCTTTCTGAAGGTCTGGGCCTCTAATTAGGTGCTACGGCTACACACTCACCTGTGCATTTCCATTTGTACCCTCTGAAGTGCCGGCTTTATTAGGTCTCTTGCTGCCCCTGTCTTTAGAAAGTGTCATCTGTTGCACTCACTGGCCTTTAGCCGATGGTACCTCGCGTTGCCTAGAAGGTTCCTCTCGTAACACAGGTTTTATTAGTCAAAGTTTAATGACAGATGAGCACAAAACCAATCATTGTGTCCTATGCAGATTTTACTGGTACTTACCAACCAAACTGCTTACTGAACAGCATTTCACAAAACCCAAGTAAGATGTTGCCCATTATATTAAAAACTATTTTCTTACTGTAATTTTTAAAAGTTTAATTAAAGTTCTATAGTTGATAAGTAGAAACAACACAGTCTTCAGTAAATTAGATGTGTGGCACCTCACTTCCATCACTGATATGAGCAAATGGCACCTTACATTAGGAAGTAACATTGATTGTGGAGTGTTCTGCTCTCTCATTCAGTTTATCTCATGCAAGGCTCTGAACAGGGCTCCTAAAAAGACATTTTCTGTGGCACTGTTTTGCCTTTACCACAAGTCAGCCTCTTCAGATCAGGGATGGGGAATGTCTGGCCTGTGGACTGTATAAGGCCCATGAAATAATTTGGTCTGGCCCTGCCAAGGCATGAGGAGTAAATTAATTAAAGGTTTGACCAGATACAGCAGGCTAATTTTTAAGTTGATAATTTTGTATGGCCCGAGAAGATGTTAGAAATATCCAAATAACCCTAGGCAGAATAAAGGTTCCCCACCCTTGCTTTAGATGGACTGGACACTTCAAACTTTTTTAGTCAGATACTGATCTTTAGTGTCCCTAATCTGTTTCTCAACCTTATTCATACTTGGCAGTAGGAGACCAATGAACCCTTTCTTCTCTTACCAAATTCCATAATCACTATTTACTTTCTCCAGATATGAAATTCTCCTTCCTTCTGGTGCTCAGGGTTTTTTTTCTACCTTAAATGCCACCTCATCTGATGCTATACCACCTTTCTGACTCAGTTCAATATCATTGTCTTCCTAGAAACTGCTCTGGCCTTTAGTGACCTCTTTCTCCAAATCTCCATTAACTACCACACTCTTCTAGTTACTCTTACCTTTCTGTTCTGGTGTAGAAGAGGGACTCAATCTGCTTATGCCAACACAGTGACTAAAGTGAAGGGGCTTATTAGAATGGCAGGGGCTGGCTGGAGGGAGTAAGGTGAAGTGTTTGTATAGTTACTAAAAACAAAATCTTAGGCCAATCTGATGTGCTTTTACTTTTTAAATTGTGAAACACAGCCAGTAGGTGTACTTTCATATAGTGGCATCTTCCAACTGCTAAGAGCCATTTCATGTTGGAACAGTGTGTTCAGTTAGCTACTTAGGATTTGGAAACACTATATGTAGTGATTACTTAACAAGTCTAACCTTCAATAGCTTAGATTACCCATATGTACCAGAGGAAGGTGGTTGTTAGCATTCTGTAATATCCAGTCATGAAATACACCTGAGTGTCTGAGTGGGATTGCATTCACACCTGGTGGAGGGATGGGGGCGGAGGTGGAGGGATGGGATGGGGGTTGGTGAGGTGTAGAAACACCACTCCCTTGCTGCAGTTGGTATGGTTCTCCCTTTTATCACTGTAGCATAGTTCGTTGTATTAAAGACCAGGGGACTGCTTAAATAAACGTAAAACATTTACATATACCCTAGTATACAGAACAGAATGCTACACTATAGAAACAGTGAGGTAGATCTGGGTACTAGTGAAATGGCCTCCAGGACAGATTAAGCAAAAAAAACACAACAACACACAAACAAACCAAAAAACAGTATAGAACAATAGGCTACTCCTGTAAACAAAGGAGACCTGCATATTCATGTATGTTTCTACATGTATGGTCTGTCTCTGGAAGGAGACATAAGCTGGTGGCCTCTGGGGAGCAGAATTGCTGAGGGATTAGGGAATCAAAGGTAGGAAGGGAGTTTATTGGCACTGATATGGAGTGCCAATAAACATTAATAATATTTATTAATAATATTAATAATTATTACATTTATTATTAATAATATTAATAATTAATAAAAATTAATAATATTAATATGTCCATATTAATATTACTTTTTTAAAATGCACACATTTCCTCAGTATTGTGTGCTGCACTCAGTAGTAGAATAGTAATGCCTCTAAGGCAGCATTGCTTTGAAATTCACAGAACTTCTCTCACACCTATCTTCCCCCATTCCTATTCCTGACTGTTACAAGCACAGTGAATATGTATTTGGTTTACCACTTGGGACAGTAGAAGGAACAGCTTTGCAGTCAGATCAGACCTGTCTTACTGGCCTGTATGATTACTTTCTGAATTGTAGCTTTCTCATGCAGGGAATATTAAAACTCGGATCTGTTGTAAGGTTTAAGTAAGAAAATGTACTTAATAAGCTAGCATAGTGATGGGTATATAATAGGAGTTTGATAAATGATAATTATTTCAATTTTAATTGGATAACCAAGGGACATTTAAAAATACCTGCTTTTCTGACTATACTGAAATTGGAGCATTAACATATCTATTTCCCCTGGCATGCTACAGTGGAATATAACAAATTTTGAGTGCCTCTTGACTCCTAGAGTAGTTTTTAAGTGAAATGGCTTATTTTCCTTTTTTTTAATCCAATAAAGTCTTTCAAATAAAAGTGATATTCTTTGTTTTCCTTTATGTAAATGGGCATTTTCTAATTTTTTAAAATAGTTTGTGTGTGGGTAAATGCATTAATGTATATTATATGTTGACTATTATATATTATTTATTTATGCAGATATCTATCTAGCACCTAATGTATATTATATGTTGACTATTATATATTATTTATGCAGAGATCTATCTAGCACGAAAGTTTTAAACATGAGTCAGTTGTATAGATTACAAGTCAAAATTTGGTAATAATGACTATTAGAATTTCTTTTTAATGTAAATACATTATTTAGATGTAGGTTTTTTTTGGAGTAATATGTATATTTTCTATTAATTTTTTTTCAGCTCTTTCAGTCTCCGATGGCAACAAAGTCTTGTGTGTCCTCCCAAGTATCTGATGATGAACAGAGAGTGAGTATATCTTTTAAATAGATCCATAAAGTACTCCAGATTATCTCTGTGATTTCAAGATAATTATTCAGAGACCTAAGAGACTTTTGTTTATACTTATCTTGAATGTGAAATAACTTTAATGTTTATTCAAGTTAAAAATCAATGATGGAGTGAATAATTGCTATGTTTCCAGTGTCTCTATCCTACTTGACATTAAGCAAGTTAAAATTCTAACTGAAGACTAGCACTGCTTTTGCTGGGCATGCTTGCAGAACTTGGTGGATGTGGAGAACTCCTGTAGTTCTTGAGAGTGTGGGAAGTCACAGGACAGCTGTCAGATGCCTTCCTGAGTGTGAGGTCAGACCTTAATGTTTCCAGTGTCTTAAAGTCCTAAATGGGCAGTATAGCAGGGATGTGTTTCAGTAATTCCTAATAAAATTTATATTTAAAAGGATGGATAAATTTAACTTGGTGAAAGAGAGGTGGTCAGTTTTTTAAAAAAAGAAAATTACAAATATAAGCCTGGGTAATTCGATAAGATTAAATAATTGCCTTTAGTTCTGTGTTCCAGTTAAGTCTCTTCTTATTTTTCCTTCTTTCTCTTCACATGCTAAAGTCCTCATGGGTTCGATAAGTCATAATCAGACCACCAAACTGCCATCCTTTTAATTTTTTCTCATTGGTAATAATAGTATATTTCACCTTTATTTTATCTCCTCAAAGGCTTTGAATTACTCTTAATGTGCCTACTAACACACTGCTTTGCTGAAACTATTGTCATAGTAATCTTTAGTGACTAACCTATTGAGTGCTGATTGCTTACTCCTCATTTTCTCTGGCCCCTCTTCAAATAATTTATGGTGACCAATCCCATATTTTTGAAAAGCTTCTTTTGTTTTCATGACATGAAAATTATATAGCTTTACAAAGCTTTTCAGCTTTTCGTCTGGTACTTTGAATAATTGGAGCCATATTTGCCATTGATTTTGATGTCTGATACAGGTGTGTTATTTCAATGTGTTGGTTCCTACCCCTCTCTGTTAGCCATATGATTATTGTAAAAGCATGTCTTAAATACTCGGGATTATTTTGAGATACACATATTAGCATAATCCTAATTATTAATGTAATAAAAAGCCTCTTAGCTTAAAAAAATTATATAGCTTTAGAGCCACAAGGAATTCTGCAGCCACTTAGTTCAACTTTTGCATATGCTTATCAGATAACAAGAATTATTTGAATCTTCTTGAATACTTTCAATGACTGGGAAGCATAGTGTTTCTTCACTCTCCCTTTTTTAAATTATAAAGATAATATGCTTACATGACTAAAAGGGATTAAAGAGCACAAAAGAAAATACAGTGTACTGGTTTTCTGTTACTCCATAACAACTTGCCACAAATTTACTTGGTTAAAACAACACCTGCTTATTAGCTCACTTAGAGGTGAGAAAGCCAGGCACAGCACAGCTGGCTTCTCTGTCCAGGGTCTCACACTCAGGATGTTGGCTGGCTGGGTTTTTATCTGGAGGCTCCCCTTCCAAACTCAGTTTGTTGGCAGAATTCAGTTTTTGGCAGGCCAGTTGCTCATCATTCTTAGGTACTTGCTATGTGGCTCCTTTGTACCCATACAACAGTGTAGAACTGGAATCCCCTTCATGCCTCAAACCTCTTTCTTCAGAAGTTCTCAGCCCTATATCACACTTGATGATTATAGCTTTGAGTAGGTGGTATAAGTCCTTCAATCCTGTCTTTTACAGAACTGTTTTTACTATTCTAAATCCTAGATTTTCATATAAATTTTAGAATTAGCTTCTCAGTTACCATATTGACGGCATATAGTTGGATCTTGTTCTTTTATCCAACTTGACAATTCCCTTCTTTTAATTTAAATGTTTTGTCCTACACTGTCCAGTATGGTAGCCACTAGGCACATGTGCTATGCATATTTAAATTAGTTAAATAAAATTTTAAAGTTACGTCCTCAGTTGTACTAGTTATATATTTTTTATTGTCTAAAGTATTACATGTCTTCTTTTTCCCCAATT